CATGAACATATGCGCCCGGGCGCCCGAAGAGCAGTCAACGTCAAATCTTAGTAAGGTGAGCAGCTCAACACCAAAATGGACGATGAAAAATTATTAGAATGTGTGCGCAAGTACCCTGTGATTTACGACATGAGCCATCCTAAGTATTTAGATAACAAATACAAAAATATTATTTGGAAAACAATTTCAGACGAAATAAAACAATCTGGTAAGTAGTAAGTTTTATTTCAACTTACATTGTGAAAATTGCATATTTACATAAGCGTCACGCCTATCGACAGATGAAATCACTGGCTGACAAAAACCACATAACACAGATTTCGTGCAAATAAATAATACACTCAAACAGCCCGGTGTAACATGAATGACTGGGCCGACCGGCGCACGGTGGACGTGTCCCGGCCGAGGCCCGGCCCGGTCGCGACACGGTGTAGCGTGAATCATCCTTAAACATATAACAATAGTTTGAGCAATCTCTTAATTAAATATAATAATAGGGGTTAAAGTATGAAATTGCCGATTTGTACTGAAAATCTAAATTGTTTATTTTTTAAATTTTTAACAAATTTATTTAATCAAAATAGTTGCCATTATTATCTATACATTGCTGCCATCTAATGGGAAGGTTATTAATGCCTTTGCGATAGAACTCCGACGATCTAGACTGCACAAACTGTGTGAAAGCATTTTGTACTGCCTCCTGGGAAGAAAACTTCTTGTCACGTAGATAATTGTCCAAATCACGAAAAAAATGGTAGTCCGTTGGAGCAAGGTCTGGTGAATACGGAGGATGACGAATGGTTTCTAACTGCAGTTCCTGAAGGGTCAAAATGGTTTCTCGTGCTGTGTGAGGTCTCGCGTTGTCGTGGACCAATAATGGTGAAGATCGATTCATGAGTCGGGGCTGTTTTACTGCTAGTTTTGTCAACATGGTTCGGAGTTCGGCACAATAGACATCTGCCGTTATTGCTTGACCAGATCGGAGAAAACTATAGTGAATAACACCATGCTGAGACCACCAAACAGTTACCATTACCTTTTTATTGGTAAGTTTTGCTTTAGGACACTGTTGTGGCATTTGACCTGGGGTCAGCCATTGCATTTTTCTTTTCCGGTTATCATAAAGAATCCACTTTTCATCACATGTTACCATTCGATCCAATATTCCTTCATTTCTGTACCGGTTCAACAAGGCAACACAAGTTTCAACACGCGTTTCTTTCTGCAGATCAGTCAAATCATGAGGCACCCATTTTTCGTATTTTTTTATTTTATTGATTTGACGCAAGTGAGTCAATATTGTGGGTAAGGTAACGTTAAACCATGCCGCTAATTCCTGGGTAGTTTGACTAGGATCGGCTTCCACTATCTCTCTTAATTCATCGTTATTCACCTGTGTGGGCGGTCTTCCTCGTGGCTCGTTCTTTAAGTCGAAATTTCCATCACGAAAGCGTTTAAACCAAAATCGCACGGTGCGTTCATTAGTAAACCCCTCTCCAAACGCAGCATTGATATTGCGGGCTGTTTCTGCCGCGTTAGTTCCGCGTCGGAACTCGTATTCAAAAATCACTCGAATTTTCGCAGTATCCATCTTTCTTGTCTAAATTGAATAACAAAAACAATTGAAAGTCGATATTCAAATGTTTCAAATTTAAGAAAAAAAAAAATCACAGAAACCATTTGAAAAAAGTTTCATTCGAAAACCTCAAACCATGAAGATTCTATGAAAATTCAAAGAACCTATTGCAATAAAACGGCAATTTCATACTTTAACCCCTAATATTAGTTGATGTTCACAAGGTGTAATCGAGAGTCGAGAGCTCAGTCGGTGTCTTAGGGTCGTATTCTAGAACTCTACTCAATGCTCAAGTCAGGATTTGAGTATGGTTTAAAGCACTCGAAATCATACTCAAATCCCTGCCTTTAGGGTCGTATTTCCAGTGCTTGTGTTTCCAGTGCAATCCTGACTTAAGCATTGAGTAGAGTTCTAGAATACGACTCTCTGGGTCGTTTGAGCAGACTTGAGTATGATATCGAGCAATGGAAATACGACCCTAATGGTAAAAAGTCCTCGCCATCCTGGGGATTAGAACATTTATGGCGCATTTATTCGACACGAATTTCATCGCGCTCACAGTCGCCGAGCGGAGTCCGCGGCGGCTGACTCTCATGGCAAAATACGCTCTACTAGTTTAGCTTTTACGTTTTAATTTAATTGAGCGTTCCGGGCACGCAGGCTAGCTTGGCTTGAATTTGGCCTACGCGGCGCGTGGCGCGCGCGATGACCGCGGCGGCCGGGCGGTAATTTTATTAAGAGGAATTTAAATGTTGTTGCACAATAAATAGAATTCAGATTCGCCATTAATGTACATGAAGGCGTGGTAACTGGGTGGTCGCCAGTTATTGTGGTGTCAGTATCGTCTCCTTTAATGTTATAATAATTTCTTGTCACAACAAATACACTATTTGACTAGGTACTGATTGTGGCTCATTTCTCAGTATAGATTGAAAGTCTCCTCCGCTCCGTGGAAGAACAGCCTAGACAAATCTAATGCTTTTAAGATTGCTCATTCGTCCTTCGGCCTTCAAAGATCTTCTTTATCGGAAGCGAACATTGTGTGCGTTGGCATCATGTTGGTACGCAGCACTTTATGCACAGTATAAAATATATGTATGTTTATTGTCGATTAACTTATCTATACCACATGTATACACACACATTTCTGGGAAAATAATTAAATCAACCATTGCTACCAACATAAGTAGCATAGCGATGATGCAATAAATACCTCATTTTTTTAGTTCACAATTTTGTCTGCTTATATTTCAGGACAAAGAAATAATTTCTTTTTTTAGTTAGTAATCTAATTTTGGTCTCTATTAAGTAATCTTGATTACCATTGAATAATGATTAACAGGACGGAAGGCAAGTCAGTACGTATTTTTTTTAACTGACTGACAGTGACAGACTGTTAGGCCGTGAACGGCGATCTTTATGTAAGTCTTGTTTAGTCAGTACCATAGAGTAGTTAAGTTCGCATGCTGCCTTTACTATTTTATCATTTTTGGTTGACTAGTAGTGACATCTAGAGCAAATTTAATGAAACTTTATAATTAATTTTCAGAATGTTCAGCAAAACTGACCGACACAAGACATGAGTTATGGTTTTATTAAGGCATAATAAGTCTTACGTCAAATAATTGATTTGAAGAACCGTACCTTACTTAATAAAGTAAACTTATATTTCCTATGAAAATACAATTTTTACCATTGTACTTTCCGCTTTTTTAAATTTTGAAGATGCGTTCTTTTTTCTAAAGGAAAGTATCGTGTAATTGGAAGAATGTTAAAATCTTTAGCAAGTACAAAATCGCGAATGCCTTTTTTATAGCCAACGATTTCAATCTATAGACAAGAACATTCACAGCAACTATATGTTCCAAACAAAACACTATTAATAGTGATAGTGTTTTATTTTAGTGTTGAATTTTGGCAAAGAGTATCAGTACCGTATTAGTACCGTCCATAGACGTAACAGTCTATAACTATTAGGAATGAGTTAGACAGGCAGATAATATTGAGTGTTTACCAATTGTATTTATCCATAGTTGGGGAATTAACGTAAAGCCCCTGGCAAAGTCGCTATTAGTTGCACAATGCATTTCATTTTGCTTTGACCCAGGGCCTTCCACTTACTATTTATAATTATTATATTACTAAAAAGAAATACAAATTAATTAAAAGAAAGAAATACAGTCGAGTTGTTAAAATGATTGATATTATGATAATTACTTTTCCTTGTGGAAAGGCAAAGATCTGTAGACCACGTATCCTAGTCAAGTAAATATATATCGTAGAACCTAGTCTCTTTTATACTTTTTACATTTGTATGGTAACCTTGATAACTTATAATCATATTATACATACTTTGTTAATCCAAAACCACAACAATACTTACCGAATCAATGCGAATAATTAAAAATTTTGAATTTATGTTCACACAATTAGTCAAATAGCGAAATGTGAACAACATGGTTGTTCACATTCAAAGAGGACCGCATCTGTTTCCGCCATCTTGAATGTTTGATAACCGACTAAATGATTTGAAGCGTCTTCACCGCACATCAGTGAAACAGCGTGTCTATGGAACGCCGCATCTAGTACGCTAGTACATAGATATAGTTGTTTATTAGACTTGTACATGATCGGTCCTTAGAGGGAGTGATCCTAGTTATTTCAATCGGTCAACTGAACTAGGTCGGTCTTCTACTTCATCTAGTTAGTTAGTTCGTCTTGTCCTTGCTTGGACATTGAACGAACGCTCCAAACTAGTAATTTTATTCACATGAACTGCTATATATATAAGAATGTTGGTTAGAATCGTGTCTTTAAAAATCAATATTTGGGTACAACTATTTCATATATTCGTACACGTAGGTTGATATTATACATACAGATACCTACCACACCTACCAAAAAATATTACTTTTTTTGCAAGCTTTTATAATATACACAATGTAGATACCTATTAGGGACTTAGAACGAGCTGGCAACGTTCAATCGTGCATCCCACTCGAACTTGTACCAAAAGTAGTGAAAGGTCGCTATTTGTCCCGCTCGCACCGTTCCTACTGAATAAAAGACAGGTGAACTATCAACGCAAACAGTTCCTAGTTCGTACTGAACTAAAAAGAATGATAAACTATTAAAACCATCCAAGACGAACTAGTTCATGTCGGTCAGTGTCGGGAATATATTTCTAATAGTTTGTAGTTCCTGAACTATACAAGCCTATTGTTTATAGCATTGATATAAGAAACAAGGTATTTATTATATTTTTGTGCTATGGTTGTAGCTGTGATACGTGAGCTAGATGTCGCCACATGTGGCTGTTTATGAAGTGCGAGGTCATGAAGCACTCTTTTTTTTTAAATCTTGTCTGTGATCAATTTTCTGTCGGCTTATTCCTTGTGATGTGGGTATAGTGTTCTGTGATCCGTTCTGTCAAACGTTAGCGCTAGCACTGCCGACAATTTATATAATTTGGGATTTGTACAGCAATTAAGTCATAATTTCTAAATTTTCAATAATAAACGTGTTGAATAGTGTTCAACTTACATATTGTCCGTTTTCCATTTAAAAATTTGATTTAGTTTGAAGTGAAATCGGAATGTCAAGTGAAACGGGAAAGCAAGTATGTATTTATCGCTTTCTAAGTTTAATTACTATTTTTAGCTGATAATCAGTAAATGTGTTAGGTGGCAAGAAGTATTTGGGATGTTTGTAGTCTACAGCCTGTGGTAGTATTGAGAAGAATTGACATTTTTTTAAAGTATGAGTCACGTAGTAGGACCGTAGGTATTTATGTTTTGAATGTTTTATTATGCATACCGGGTGCTTTGCGTTCTAGATTCGAAACAGTTAGCTGCGGATATTTACCTTTGCCTGGATATATGTGGAATTGCAATGTTGCGTACCTTTACGGCAGTATTCGCCTGATTTAAGTTCATTACCGTTAGTGAGTAGCATTATAAACCAATTATTATTTACATTTTAAATGAAAATTTAAAAACCTCTGATCCGTAACCTTATATCAACTCGTACTCGTATCAATCTATCACAAGTAACAAAAATAGTATAAAGTTTTTCATAAATTACATTATTTTTATGTAGATATCGACTCAACCGTAGAACAAAGACCTAAGTGCAAGATGCTGCTTATTGTCAGTACATTGTACATTTCGTTTGTTGTTCTTGATTGTGGATATCCACAGTCAAGATCGACTGTTGTTCGATTTTATATTGAAATGAAACAATATGAAATAATAAATGCACAAAAAATATCTGAAGCACCTTTAGATAAACCTTTTGAATAACGAAATTATGTTTTATCCTTTTTTTACTGTATCATCACATCCGACTCTGTTCTTCGGATGAGTCAATATATTATGTAAATTCAGCAGTAAAATTATAAAGCATGAAAAACAATGTGTATGTGTCAAATTTAATTGTAATACCTTCAGAATCATTTTATTCTTATTGCACCAAGCGATGGGACAATCAAGCTGTGTGTCTGGTAGTAAACAATGTGCCTGTCCATAGCAGTTCCAGTGCCACTCAGTGCTTTAAATTGCAAAGATCTATGGCACACTACCACAGCCCCCATCACCCTGAACATAAGTTGGCAAGTCCCAAATGCCTGCAATTTCACCAGCTCCCCTACCCTTCGCAGGTATTATACTCATTTTAATCCTTTCAATACATGAAAACATTCCTCTGTAAACTTGTTCATTTAGGCTTACAATTATATGGGCCGTTTTGATATTTTCTTCTGTTTATAGCACTTAAATAATAATTTTAAAGAAACGCGTGCCTTACTCCAGCGTGACCATGGTTGAGTTTTTGAAATTTGACTAGCCAGTTAAAAAGTCCCTATTTAGTCAGCCCTAATATAATATAATTGCAAAAAACTAGATTTAGTTGGTCTACCGTTCAAAAGTTATAAAGCTATTATATCCACAATTAGCTGTCAAATTCTAGTGATAAACCAGCATTTCAAAATTTTTATCACAATAGCTAACATCATTTCTCATAATGATGGAGCCATAAAAATAAAAAGTGAAGTGAATAGCTAACATGGCGAGCACTGTGACGTAATATTTTTGTCGCTTTGCGAGTGCCGCGACCAATGGCTGCAAAAGAAGTGCCAAACATGACCACAAGGTCACAGCTGATTTTAAAACATTTTGACAGTTTTGCACAGTAATTTTAACCAAACTGATGTATGTAATGGGAAAAGGGTGAAGAGAACATTTTTAATACAGTTCAATACATGAGAGTAAAATAATTAAAAACTGAAACTGAAATACTGTGTAAATGAAAGGGGACTCTAATTGCAATCTTTCCTTGGATAAGTTGACCATGATTGGTTGCACAGTTAGCGTTCTTAGTCTTTTGTGCCAGGTTCCTACCACCTAGCTCCCAGTACGTATGTATGCCTAATTAAAGCTAATAGAAGTAATTGAGGTCCCTCTTAAGAAAGCCGTAAGTGAATTGTGTTGAAAATATCTTTGGCTAAATGATGTTTACTACATGTGGGAATGGGATGTTTTACTTTGTAGTCATAAAACGAGTTACCATCAAATCGAAAAATGCCTTTGTCTAAGTATTTTAAAAAGTCAATTCCAATTATTCAAAAATGTACTTTAAACTGCTGTTGTAGGCAGTTCAGTTTTATTTGACTAGTCATTATAAGTGATCGACACATGTGTGAACTAATTTCCGTAAGCATTCCACAGGATATGTCTTATCACTGCTATGTTAAATGTAGTTATATGGCTATACATATATCTTTCTTTTTGCTACTACAGTTTTGTGCATTTGTATCTTTTTAACGCGGTGTTATATGTACTAAGTGCCGTTTAGCACGTCAATTAGGTTAGTAAGCAATTACCCTTTTTGGCCATGTTTAAAGTAATATGCAAACGTGTTCTTGTTTTCGTGCCATATTAGAAATCACCGTAACACATAAATGGCCTCTGGGGTTGTTGTAAACAAACAAATGTCAATTGCCCCTGTGGCCGAACGGTTACTGTTCTGGATTGCCACGCCGAGGTCTCGGATTCGATTCCCGGGCCGGTAGAAATGTTTGTATGGCCTACATTTATTTAGAGCCGAACTTTGCATTCAGCAATGACATAACCTTGAATTTCACATACTTTGAGTTACAACATTATTGTAATAGCAGTGCAATGTATATATTCAATTATAAGCATATACATTATATTGTCATTCAAATCAACCGTGTAATAACATTTTTTAATCCATAGCATTGACAATTACTTCCTGCACATATCCAAGGATAGGATTTTCAATCTTTGTGGCAGTTTCTTGTAGAGTTTAGGCACCATGTTAAGGGTGGTTTTTTTCTTATGAACGTTTTACAAGAGATTATCAAGGTATAGTTATCAACATAATTATCGTGATTTCACTTCGAACCCTGCTAACAAACAAACATTGATGCCACAAATCCATATTTATACTTTGTGCTATTTGGCATGTCAATTAAGGTCATTGACCTGACTATCATGCCGAAGACATGATAGTCAGGTCAATTCTACAGCGACAAACAATCGATCGCTATAAATCTGTCCCAATTTTGACATCACTTGAGTAATATAATTAAAAACAATGGCATAATTTTCAAAAAAAGTTAAATTGACATCATTATGTGAATTTATATGTTGTAAATATCACATTTTTATTATTATATTTAATTACATTAATTATCATCATAATGCATGTGTAAAACACAAAATTATGTTGCAATAATATACCACTTCACATTAAAACTAATATTTAACACTCTGAATGTGCCTACCCTGATCCAATATATAGAATTTTCGAAAGTGTATTTCTGTAATTTGTATTTGTGGAAATAAGTAAATAATAATTATTATTATATTTTACATAATAATAACGATAATAACTTACATACTCATAGGCCCACACTGGGAAACCCTTTATTGTGGGTACCATCAAATCAAATCAAATCAAATCAAATCAAATCAAATCGTTTATTTGCATAAAACATGGTGGTCATGATAACACAGTAATATACATATAAGTTCAAGCATGTTTCGCCCGAAGATAATTTAGGCATGCAAAATAAATGAAAAATAGGTCGTCACATGATTACATTTACATTAAGTTATATATAATTAATACAGACACCCACAAAGTACACCCGAACTCACGAGAGAAATAAATGTAGGCCATACAAACATTTCTACCGGCCCGGGAATCGAATCCGAGACCTCGGCGTGGCAATCCAGAACAGTAACCGTTCGGCCACAGGGGCAATTGACATTTGTTTGTTTACAACAACCCCAGAGGCCATTTATGTGTAAAACTTCCTCCTTTGATGTCTTTTCAATCATTTTATTTTGTCCATTCGCCTCAAGCACCACATTTAAAATGATTTCAATCTCTCTGTCTTTTAATGTTATTGTCCATGTCTCGCATCCGTACAGTGCGGTGCTCCAGACATAGGTTTTGATGAATATTTTTTTCGATTGTATAGGTATTTAAGAGGTGAAAATGTGTTTTTTGTTATGGAAAGCTGTTTTGTTATTGCAATCCCAGTCTTTTTGTCAGTGGTACATTTGGAATCTTCTGTGATAATACTTCCAAGATATTTGAAATGTGTTACCTGCTCTACTGGAATGTCATTTATTTTGTTGGGTGTAATTTTGGAAGGATGTTTTGCAGTTACTAATACTTTGGTCTTATTTTTGTTAATCGTCAAATTAAATTCCTTAAAAATTATATTCATCTTATTGAGTAGGGCTTCCAATTGATTTCTGTTTTCTGTAATTACAGCTATGTCATCGGCAAATTTAACAAATAACACCCTGTGACCATTTTTATCGAATGCACAATACAAAACATTATAGAAACATCTACAGAGGGTATAAGAGTGAATATACCCGGTAGATACCTACATGAAGAAGCGGTACGTTAGAACGTACAGCTTCTTCATGTAGGTATCAGTATTTTTTTATTTTAATGACGGCAATAACGCTCGAGTTTTAAAGGCTTAGTGAAAACTAGATTCATTAATTAAAACAGAGATGTATTGAATATTTATGATATCAAGTGACAGGACGAAGAAATCGTGCGCTTAATGTTAACCGACACGCCTGTACAAACCAGCTGTAGTGCCACTGCACCTGTCATCCTGAGACTTAAGTAGACAAGTCCCATATGCCTGTAGTTTCACCAGCACACTTAATCGCGTATACCTATCTATTTGTTTGAAAAAACTAATATACGCGATTTAGATTCGAAAAAAATAGTTTTATTTCCAACAATTTGTATTTGTAACAATCGCGAAAACGCAACATAAGAACTCAACATTGTACAAATTTATATTGAATACGTACAACGTTATTCTGGCTGCTAATGGTTGAACTGGTAAAGAATTACATCCTTTTTTAGGAATTACGTTGGATTGCGCTTCTTTGACGAATGAGGCAAGAATGTACAATTGAATATAATATCGTTATTGCACCACACAAAACCACTACCACGAAGTAAATTCGTACAATTGCTATTTACTCCTTAGCGCGTTCCCTTATGTCGTGACGACAGATAGTTGTGTAGTTTAAATTGTCATGGCTTGCATACTCAAATGAAAACTTAAATGAAAATGAAACTTAGTTGTTCACACATATATAGAACAACACGATTAACTGTCGTTCACGACTTTTTTGACGTTACGACGACAGACTGTCGTGGCAATGGGAAGAGCTAAAACGACAGTCGTTCGACGATAAATAAAATGTCAAGATAAAAATGTATACGTCAAATAATCGCAGCTTCAAACAATTCTGTCGTGCAAACGACACATTGTCGTCACGATCGAGTGGGAACAGCTAAACACGACAGTCGTTCAACGGTAACATAAACGTCCACGACATGGTCACGACAGATCGTCGTGATATGGGAACAAGGGGTCGATTCAGAACCGTACGATAACTACGTTGTCGACCGATTCGATTAGATATCGTATGATTTCTTTTCATTTTTATTCACAATAACCGAATCGAACGTCAAACTGTCGTATTCGAAACCGAACCGAAATGACGTCACTCTCATACGATTACTGGTACTTCTCGACCGACAAAAGCTACAAACGTTATTCAGAACACAGTTATCGAATGACAGTTACCGAACGTCCTATTGTTTACAAAGCAAGAATGTAATATGGAAATCTTTTATTATTTTAAATAAAATCTGGATTTTGTTCAATTTTATTAATTTATTTTAATGCGAGACTAATGCATGCCTATATTTCAAGCCTTTAAAGTCTTAAAATGTATATAAAAGGATTTAATTTTTCTTATAATCTATATTCGCCGACTAACCCCGCAAACGTTGTTGGATAACGATATCGTATCCGAATCTGAATCGAACGTTTTAACTCGAATGTTCTGAATAGCTCGGAAAGCATCCTTCGATTCGAGAACGATATCCAATCGAACGATTGGGTTAAGATATGGAAGAGTTGTGAATCGGGGTCCAGACTAGACACGATAATCGTCCAACGATTAATAAAACGTTACGACATAACGGGAACACGCCTTTACTCCGTGCTGCTACTAATCGTTATGGCATCACTATACAATTTTTAATGTAAAAATATTGTTCCAGCAATTCTCCAATCTGGAGACTCCAGGGTATGTTGGGTTTGCCAACTTGCCCAACCAAGTTCATCGCAAGTCTGTGAAGAAAGGTTTTGAGTTCACTCTCATGGTAGTCGGCGAGAGCGGACTGGGCAAGTCCACCCTCGTTAACTCGCTGTTCCTCACTGACCTGTATCCTGAGAGAGTTATTCCTGACGCCATTGGTGAGTGCTTAGGCTGTTCCATAGACTTTTAAGAGGCCTTTTTTATGAAACCAACCGAGTGACGGGACGATCAAGTCGTGCGCCTGGTAATAAGCGACACGCCTGTCGTCCGTAACAATTGCACTGCCGCTCAGAGCTTTAAATCGCAGAGATCTGACTACCACAGCACCCGTCACCCTGAGACATAAGTCAATACCCTCCAAAGACGGCGGCAGAAATAGGTAAGGTGGCAGAACTTCCGTGGACGAACCCTTTCACAAAGAACTCTGCTGCTACTAAAACTCGTAGAAGTAAAAGCAAACAAGAAGGACAACGTCATCATCGCCAGACTATGAAAAGGACAAGGATTTCTACTGTTTCCACTCTTACCTGTCCTTCCACACCCAAATGTGTTAGCCACGAATGTTTTTCATTATAGTACTAGAGTAATGCTAAGTCCATGGGAGTCCTGACACTTGATGGGCGAACGAAGCTACATAAAAGATGCAGGCCACAGCCAGAGGGCATAGAAACTGTTGAAGCCGGGAAAGTCTTTCAGTTTTTTATGCTGTTGGCCTTCGCTCCGAACTGTAATAAGTGGTGATCACAATAGATAAGTTAATGGTCGCTCTGATAAGGGGTTGTATAGGCCCTGGATGAAGCCACCATAACAATAAGTCCATGTAATAATATGGGGCGCTAAATTTTCGAGTGGCGCCCTCGATTCGGAATACGCCTCGGCTTTCTACTACATCGACCGGAGACGTCATTTAAGTTGTGGGAAGCCATTGGAAGCTAAAGGGCAGGACCGTTAGAAAATGGCGATTCTTGTGAGTGACCTGTGACTGGTAGTGGACGACTATAGGTTGCGATGATGACGATGGTTAATGCTAACTCCGTGGACTCGTGTTTGAACTGTGAATTCTAAACAACAGTTAGTTATAATAAAACTACATAATATGTAGCCGGTAAGTAAATAGGTAATACATTTCCGATTAAATACCTTTGTGGTTTTGTGTAGCTCAGATAATTTACACGGATTCATACAAACTATTCACAGCGGAAGTAACGCAGCAGATTTGTAAATGCAGCCTAGCTTTTAATGTAAAATATTTATTTATTATAATTGTTAGCAAAAACTATTGTTGTATGTATTATTTACTTTAAAATGCTTAGCACTAATTACTAAATTTGCAAAATTAGTTGTCGATTTCGTTAGGATGGGGAATTTAAAAAATGAAAATGACAACACAGGGTGTGACGGCGAAAGCCATCAGATGGGCTCGTGTTATTAAAACTTAAAGGAATTTGTTAATTAAGAGTTCTTCCCTATACGAATCGATTGTATAAGTCAACATAATATGAGGCGCCGCGCAAACATGTTTTGTGTTGCGTACAAGCAACCGGCAACTAGAAGCGAATATTCTATTTTCATACAATTACGGTTGCCACAACCGGCGACAGTGCCCGGTTGCCGCAACCGCAATTGTATGAAAATAGAACAAGACTCGTTTGTGCGGCGCCTTAGACTTATTATTAGTTTGTACATTAGTTACAAATACGCGTAAAAATATTATTCTAAACATTATTGAACAAAAAACAATACCAAAAACACAAACAGTAAAATCACGTCATGTAATTTCATAATACAATACAAATCAACAATGAACAGTAACACGTGTTTAGAAAAACATAGCCGAACAGATATTTATATCATTGATTGTTGAGGTTTGAGGAGTGGCATTGGAAATATCTTTCCTATATTTGTTTTATTTTACGTATGTAACGTAAATTGGATTATGTTTATGGTAAATTAAAATAAAGTAGTTAATTTAATAATTTTTGTTAATAGTGGACATAACTCAGAACCATCACAGTCAACCGTGACTCAGAGAACCCGAAACGTTGGTTTCTTTTGCAGAGACAAATATGCGCGATTTACATTTGAAAAAATTATTTCATTTCGTATGTGTAGCAACCACACACGAAATGAAAACCTAATATCTCGATAAATTATGATCATTAAAAACATACACTAAATTCTGTATTATTTTCAGAGAAAACAAACCAAACGGTAAAGTTGGATGCGTCTACCGTAGAAATAGAGGAGCGTGGAGTGAAACTTCGCCTGACGGTGGTGGACACGCCGGGCTACGGAGACGCTATCGACAATACTGACTGCTTCCGTGTAAGTATTTTTTAAAGTTAAAAAAAAACGTAAGCCTGACCGACGACTTACTCTTAGTATAACATAGCCACATGTGATCATCTGTCAAAGTCACGAAAGAAAAAAAAAATGGAAGTGCCTTATGCCTCGATTACTATGAGAATCGATGTCGCCACAACTCACACGTTCTTAATTTGAAACACTCCTTGATATTGATTGGTCGTAGTTTCAAATTTAAAAAGAAATAACAAATTCTGGATTGTTAATATAATTAAAATTTACTCTGTTGGCATATCGTTGAAAGTTCAATACCATCAATACCTATTATTGCATGTCACGACGTTTTGATATTATATTAAAATTTCAATCAATGTATTGCCATTTAGCGGTTAATTGCTAAACGACGACGTATTGGAGTTATTAGTATAGTTCTCCAAAAAAGAAGCGACTATTGCAAGGGTATTATAAGTTTTACTTTCGTTACTTGTAACAAAAAAATACTTCAATAAACATAAATTTATTAAAAATAAGACTTTCCGATGATATGAAATACCACCACGGATAATATTTTTGGTGCGTGAGGCCGTGCAATGCAGGCTCCGTAGTCCCTGTCCAGAGCCCGCTGGCAGGCGAGCAGCGAACTGCCTTAGCCTTCTCCCCGTACGTCTGCGCCGGACCGGGTGCGCGTCCGCCGCGTCCTCGCGCACCCGCTTCGCGGCCTCCTTTTGCGACATAACCTCTGCGCAAAAGGAGGCCACCGCCTCCCAGGACTCCTCGCTATCGAGTATGGCGGCAACCACGCTCGGCAGCGAGAGATCTTGCCCTACAGTCCCCGTCAGAGTGCGGCGCTGTTCATCCCACTGGCTACACACCTCTAGGGTGTGCTGCGCGGTGTCATCCCCAGCGCCGCACTCGTGGCACGACGGGGACGGTTCCCTCCTCGCCACCTTGTGCGTTTAGTGACTAAAGCAGCCGTGCCCGGTCAGCGCCTGCACAAGGTGGTACGACAGTGGCCCGTGGGACCGGTTTACCCACTCTACGAGGACAGGTCTCGACGGGGGTCTTTCGAGACCTATAGTTGGCACGCGTCAGACGCCAGCTAACCACTTTTACTGTATTTAGTTTCAAAGTGATAATTCATTATATAATAATTTAATTTTCATTAAAATTAACTCCTACAAAAGTTATTTCACTCCAAATCGATGTGACAATCAACATACTGCAGAAATATCTTTATCGTTACTGGTATATTAAGTTTTACAGTTTTATATAGCATATTTTTTCCCCACATAATAGCTGGTATACAATGGAATATATGAAATTGGTTGGGACCATTGTGGCGTACCAGTTAGGTACGGGCTTTAATTGATTAATTAACCTAAGACTTACTTGTCATGGTCAACATGTCTCTATAATCTTTTTTTTTTAAACAGATTGTATTTTAGATTATTACATTTCTTTTTTAAATTACGATCTTACGCTTGGATATTATCCACTTAGCCTTAAGGATTTACTATTGCGTTTGGATATTTATCTGTAAGCAATATGTAGCATATTAATAAAATAAATAAACTATTGGTCTGGTATTGGTACTTAATAGCCTCAGTGGTCGCGTGGCTTGCACACCGGTTTCCATGGTGTCATCATCTCTGAGGTCCCGGGTTCGATCCCCGGCCGGATGAGTGTAGAAAACTAACTTTCTATATTGTCTCGGGTCTGGGTGTTTATAGTACCATCGTTGTTTCCGGTTTCCATAACACAAGGGCTTTAGCTACTTACTTTGGAATCAGAGTAACGTAAGTGATGTGGTCTAATATATACGTATATATTTCTTGGTTGCTTGAACGCAGTACTCTGCTCTATTTTCGGGCTTAATATGGTCAAAAATCTATTGTAAAAACTTGCCAATATCCCTTCAGTAACGACTACATGTCGTGACGCGTACATTAGTAGTATCCAATCCTGTATGACACATGTTTGTCCGCAGTCGATAATCCAATACATCGATGAGCAGTTCGAGCGTTTCCTTCGTGACGAGAGCGGCCTCAACCGTCGCAACATCATCGACAACCGCATACATTGCTGCTTCTACTTCATATCACCTTTTGGACACGGGTAATGTGCTCGCAGTATACTTTAATTTAGCTATTTGTTATTAGTGTACGTCAGCATCTAAATAATCCGAGTTATTGAACTAACCAATTAAATAATTGTAGAGTATATATCAGAGTAGCTCAAAGGGCAAAGGAGCGCGCCATCCTCGGCATTTCTCTCATATAAATCGTGAAGATACGACAGCGAACAAAAGCTGTAGACGTAAAATGCAGATGTACAGGACACGTGCTGGTGAAATTACGGGCACATGGGGCTTTTCAACTTATGTCTCAGGGTGATGGGCGCAGTGGCAGTGCACCTCAGATCCTTGAACAGGCGTGTCGTTTACCATCAGGCGCACGACTAGTTCGTCCCATCACTTATAAAATTATAAATTTTGTTTCGCTTGTTCGGTTTTTATTATTTTTGGTAATTGGAAATGGCGGCCAGATGAGGGGATCTCCTCAACACTGTGCACAAGCTACCATGTGTTTTTCAAATTGAGATTTTTTATTTGCCACCGTCACAAAGCTCGTAACATTTACATTTGATATTAACACGTCAATAGTACAAAATATCTTATCAAAGTCATTCACTAGTAACGTTTAATGTATTACAAAACTAAATTCAAAGATTTGCACATATACACGTAATGAAAATGTTAATTTAATAATAATAATATATTGTTATGAAATAAATCGCATAAGTAATCATCATCAATAACATTAAATGTCATAAAATAATGAGCATTTTTTTTAATGCATAAGGTCAAAATATTCTCGTCAACTTTATAAAATGGATTTTCAATTAATAAAATTTTTTTTATCTTTCTTTTAAATTCTAATTCGGGCAAAACGGATATAGTCGGTAGTAGTTTACCGTATAATTTTATATTTAGTTTGGACTATTCAGCGTTCGATTCGGATTCGGATACGATATCCTTATCCAACAGCGTTTACGGAGTTAGTCGGCGAAATAGATTATAAGAAAAATCCTTTTATATACATTTTTAAGAATTTAAAGGCCTAAAATATAGGAATGCATTAGTCTTGCATTAAAATAAATTAATAAAATTGAACAAAATCCAGACTTTATTTAAAATAAAAGAGATTTCCATATTAATTCTTGCTTTGTAAACAATGGCACGTTCGGTAACTTTCATTCGGTAATTGTGTTCTGAATCACTTCTTCTGACGCAGTTTGACGTTCGATTCGGGTGATTGTGAATAAAAATAAAAAGAAATCGTACGATATCAAATCAAATCCGTCGACAACTGAGTTGTCGTCAAGTTCTGAATGGACCCTCAGGTAGTGGTTGCAGTCGATAAATATTTTATCGACTGTCGACTGAATGTTGGTCACACTTATGTAATAAATAGCCGAGATTGTTTAATTTGAATCATCATCGGTCAATTTTTGTAAGTTCATTGCATTTAGAACTAAGTCTATTAAAAATACTATTTAGTCTATTAAATATAATATTTAAAGTTTTCATTTTAATTCAATACAGATAATCAGATCCGCCTCTTCTTGTTAAAATGTGTAGGAAAAAAAAATAATTTCGGCACTAGTAAGCCAACTATCAAAATAACAATAAAGAAGGCTATAACGCAACTAGTAATCATTAGAACGTCGTAACATTCACAATTCGAACATTATTGGCAAAATTTTATCATTCAATTTCACAATCTATCGATAAAATTGTCGATAACAACTACGTGACTATATAATATTTTTTGAAAACTGGCAAGCCTGCAAATGGCATTTTACTCCTCTTCAAAAATAGACGGACTATAGAAGGTCCACGAACCTCCAACATCCACGTGGTGGACCACGAGTTTTTCTCATTTAACAGACCCCTTTATGGTATAATTTATAAGAAAACTTTTTTGTGAATAGACTGAAGCCGTTAGACATCGAGTTCATGAAACAACTGCATAACAAGGTGAACATCGTGCCCGTGATCGCCAAAGCCGACTGCCTGACTAAGAAGGAAGTGCAGCGACTCAAGACTAGGGTAAGATAGATACATATTACCATCAGCAAAATTGGCGCATTAGAGTGTTACCAAACCAACTGCTCGACTTCAATCGATTTGGTAATATTAAAATACAGAGCATACAATTACTTAACTTCAATTCACTTTTGTAATCAAATAAAATCATTCTAACAACCAAGTTCGAAAAATGCGTGTGCGCCATCTTTTTTCTGTCTTATTCCCTTTTGCTCACTGTTCGAGCTTTGTTGATATACGTGGCTGTGGATTGTTCTAAGTAAAGAAGCAGTCACTTGGTAACTTCATTAAGGCACACTTATTTATTTATAAAAGAAATTATAGAACCAAATAGAACACATGTGTAACCCGAGCGAAAAATTTGTAGACCTTAATTTCTCTCTCTCTCTTTCTGTTTCTCCTTGACTAACGTCGACCTTTTTTTTTTTTTTTTTCTCGCCCGTCCTTCACTAAAGTTCTCTATTACAAAAATGCTTTTGGAGAGAGAGCTTATGGTTACTTTGTTTATAAAGAACAATGGCGAACTCCTATATAAAATTTTGTTCACATGATTTGTATGCGTCTGTTTATGAAAAATATGTAAAATATAGTTTAAATTCTTGAACAATTTGGTTTTGGGTTTACTGTGCTGAGAAGTCTCGGATTAAAGATATTACAGTTTGAAAATTTTGGAGGTCATATTTTACATAATTGAATAAAATATATTCGTTGTATTTTATTATATCAAAATAAACTATAGCCGTGCGCCTTTTTTGAAGGTGGTGTAAAATACAGTTCATTGCGCGAAAGTGTTGCCCGCTTACAAGCAGCTAGTGCTTGCAGTCGATAGATATTCTATCGACTTATATAAATAGTCGAACCTGTTTCATTTAAATCATCATCAGCCCATTATTCATTCAACTGCTGGACACAGGTTTATTTGCATTGTCAATTTTTTTAAGTTCATATATACACTGCATTTACACCTATGACTATTAAAAATACAAAGAGGGTAAATATTTTAAAGTTTTTCATTTTCAAATCAAATCGTGTGTTTTTTATTTGATCTGCCTCTTCTTACTACAAAATGTATATGAATAAAAATTGATTTCTATACTAGTAAGCCAACTGTCAAATTAAGAACAGCAGTCATTAGAACGTCGTAAGGGCGCGTTCCCACTATGTCGTCACGTTTAATTATCGTTGGACGACTGTCCTGTCTAGCCTGTTCCCATATCAAGACTATCTGTCGTGGACGATTTTTTATCGTTGAACGACAGTCGTGACTAGCTGTTCCCACTAGATCGTGACGACAATAGGAGCTGCGACAATCTGTCGTCACGTTTTTATCGTGACGTTTTTTTATCGTCTGACGACTGTCGTTCTAGCTGTTCCCACTGTGACGACAGTTTGTCGTTGTAACGATAAAAAATCGTGAATGACTGGAATCGTGTCGTACTATATGTGAACAACTTCATTTGAATATACAAGCCACGACACTGTAAACTGCACGACAATCTGTCGTCACGACATAGTGGGAACGCGCCCTAACATTAACAATTCGGAAACTTTTGGCAACATTTTATCTTCTTTTACAATCTATAGATAACAATGTCGACATCAACTCTAGATAACTATTTAAAATTTTGCTATAACTGGCAACCCTGCAAATATAATTTTGCTCCGTCTTCAAACAAGACAGACTATACAGAAGCCTTAAACAGAGTAAGGGCGCGATACCATTATGTCGTGACGACAAACAGTCGTGCAGTTTAAGGTGTCGTGACTTGTAGTTTTAAATGAAGTGGTTCACATATTAACTGTACAACTCGATTAACTGTCGTTCACGACTTTTTTGCCGTTACGACGGCAGAGTGTCGTGAAAATGGGAAGAGCTAGAACGACAACCGTCAGACTATAAGTAAAACGTCACGATAGAAATGTGACGACAGATAATCGCAGCTTCAAACTATTTTGTCGTGCAAACGTTAAGACGGCAGCCGTGATCCGATAAATTGTCGTCACGATCAAGTGGGAACAGCTAGACACGACAGTCGTTCAACGATAAAATAAACGTTACGACATAATGGGAACGCGCCCTTAATAAAAACTGCATGGTGCTGTGGGTTTGTGACGTGACAAAAGTTTAGAGGAAAATATTTTTTATAAGGTCAAAAAGCATGAAGTTAAGTCAAACAAAAGTTCATGCAAAACTTGAGTTCATACATACCATGCCCTGGTTAATCAGGCACGAATAATTTTTTTGTTGCTGATATCGGTAAAGTCGTCGATTTTTGATCGTCAGACATGCTGGCTGATATTTCTGCTGGTTTGTAATTCGTGAATTATGAATTATTTTATTATAACTTACCATCCCGATAAACATCATCCTTGCCAAACAATGGAACGTATCAAATTAATAAAATAACATTTTTCTTAAAACTTGGTACAGAAGCCAGAATTAAAACCACTCATCATGCTAAATTATCAGATCACTTTGAAAAATATTAAAAATGAAAATTTGCCTTTCAAAAGTCTATCAATTTTAATTACCCCATTCAGGTGATGGAAGAAATCGAAAGAGAAGGCATCAAGATTTACCCGCTCCCAGACTGTGATAGCGACGAAGATGAAGATTACAAGGAGCAGGTACGTGAAAATTACAACCTCTTATACATTTTTAAACTGTCGCGTTGCATTATAATATGGTTACAAATAGTGATAACCGGGTTAAAGTCCATTTAATATGTATTTGCACAAATTCCTATAAATTATCTCTACGTTTGGACCTGGCGTATTATGAACTTTTAAAAAACCGTGCAAGTTCCGGGCAATTCTTTTTACGCCCAAAAACTGTCTGGATAAAATTTGTATTACGACATACATATTTTTCGCCGACTTCTCGCTGGTTATTTTGTCTATGACTGGAACTTGACTAGCTCGTGCTTTATAATGTAACATTCAAAAACATGGATGAATATTTACCGGTAAATTACGGTGTTGTATTTGTCACTTACTGTAAGAGAAAAAAAATAGATACATATTATTCATGTACGAAAATAAATAAAGACACTATATACTAAAAGTGTTATATTTTAATTTTTGTAAATAAGAGAAAAGCGCAAATTAAGTTTCCGTATGACGACTTCAAACGTCGACGAAATTTCGCGGGTAAATTTTTACTTTGTAGTTTGTTGAAAACATGTCAAAAATATTTTAAGAATATTTGACTATAAATAAAATTGTAAGAAATTATACTTGGCTTTAGTGAAAAATAACCTTAGTCTCAACTAATAAATCGGTGGATTTTGTAGGCCTCGACATGTGCGGTTTAAGTTCATCGCAAAGATTTTGGACCATATTTTTGTTAAGCCCGTATTTTTTCATAAATTGTTGTGCATCCATTTCAAATGGATCACTACGATCTCGCAGTTGTCTCCTTTGGATTTTTTCCAAATTATTATCGTGTGAAACTTTGTGAGACTCGCGATACTCAAACATTTCATATTCATCGCACATGACGAAACGATTGCCTAAAATACCTAATGTAAACTCAAAATTATAATTAGTATTATACAATTATACACAAAACAATTCAATAAACGCTACACCAAGACACAGTATACTGAGTGGTTTACTGCTGTTACTTTTGACAGATCAAACGTGGACAAAATGTCAAAATAACGCGTGTAACACGATATTGCCAGCCAAACTTCAGGCAGAAGATAGCCTAGTGTCACGTGACCGCTGACTGGCTGATACTACCAGTTCATAATACGAAATTACAAGGCAGTTTAGTTTACGGCGTAAACTGCGTTGAAAAAAGAGTTCATATTAGGCCCCCTGGTTGCTCAATCAACCTATTAATAGATTTTATCGGGTTTATCCCCATTTGTACTGTTATTAAGTCAACCTCTATTCTATTACTACCTCATTTCGAATTCATTCATTCATTCCCCTATTAATACGGTTCATTGTGCTTAGGTCGAGCGTGTGGGACATCGGCCTTATTTCAGAATTTATTTTTTAACAAACGCAATTAAAGCCATTTGAAAAATGTGTATCGTATAGTTAGTATACGAGTTCTATTTAGTTTAGTTGACATTAAAAAAATCATTGGCATATGTAAAGTACCCACTGACGGCAGAGGTTTTCTTATTTTTTTGTTTATGTTTTAATATATTTTTTTATAATATTTTTTAATGTAAAGTATGTCAGATATTGTAATGTCATATGTCATCAAGCAAATGGTGATCTTATTTACATACTTGTTTCGCATTAAGTCTTACTTATACAATTCACTTTTGAAGTGCCCTCTTTCATGGACTTCCTCTATCCGGTCTGTGGTGTTCGCACAATTAGTTATAATTAAAACACTGGATTTACTGATATCAAAATGAACGTATAAAGTGTCACGGTCATTATTGACAACTACACTCGCTATCTTATAACATAGCACGGTCACACCCGCCTTTCGAACTTATCGACTATATCTCTCTCTATACAGGTACGTCAACTGAAAGCAGCAGTGCCGTTCGCAGTTTGCGGTGCAGGGCAGCAGCTTGAAGTACGCGGTCGCCGTGTCAGAGGCCGCCTTTACCCGTGGGGGGTGGTTGAGGTCGAAAACCCAGAGCATTGTGACTTTATTAAATTGAGGACCATGCTTATGTAAGTATAAGTACCAGATTTTGCAGAAAATGCCAACAGCGTGTTTAGAAAAGTTGTATAAAGACCGTTGCCATGTTGCGGAATTTTAGGGAACTAATTAAAAAGAAACTGCCTTCGTGGAACGGTTATAATGCTGGACTGCCACGCAGATAATTATATCACAAGGCATTTACCGCACCCATGACTGGTGCGATGGACCAAGAAAGAAGAAATTTTAATGGCTTTATTCATCTATTGTAATAGAAAGGATAACAAATAATTAAAATAATTATAATTGCACCTTTTATTATATCATTTTATTGTTTGTTCCAGTCTTTCTTTTCTTCTTTTATCATCTCTTACAATAAATCTTGTCGACTGAGGCTTCCGCATACTCATTTCTCAAAGACTATGTGTTTATGTTTTTTGAAGACGGAGTATAATAACAGTTTATGTCGCAAAAGTGTTGCCCGCTTGCAAGCAGCCAGTGATTGCAGTCGATAAATATTCTATCGGCTATCGATTGAATGTTAGTTACGTTTATCAATATATAACCGAACTTATTTCATTTGAATCGTCATCGGGCCATTCGTACAACTGCTGGGTACATTTGAATCGTCAATTTTTGCAAGTTCGTACATCTTATTCTACATTTAAAACTGTTATAATTATTAAAAATACAAAGAGGTGACGTATATGAAAGTTTTTAATTTAATATAGATAATCAAATTCACCTGTTCTTATTAATATGTGTGTATATAAAAATTGATTTCGATAGTAGTAAATCAACTGTTAAAATAAAAATAAAGATGACAATAAGGCAATTAACAACAATTAGAACGTTGTGACATTCACAATTCAAATATTTTTGGCAAAATTTTACCTTCATTTTCAATCTATCGATAAAACTCTCGAAAACAACTACATGACTATTTAAAGTTTTATTAAAACTGGTAACCCTGCAAATGTCACTTTACTCCGTCGTCAAAAAAGACAGACTATAGGTTATACCATGGTCACGGCGGACCTGAAATCGGAAACGTTGGTTTGTTTGAAATAACAAAATACGATTTAGATTCGAAAAAAATAGTTTCTTTCTGATTTGTAACAACCGCGAAAACCTGATGTCATTATCTATATCTTTAACCGACTTCAAAAAGGTGAAGGTTCTCAATTCGACTGTTTTTTTTTTGTATGTATGTTACACGATAACTCATTTTATAACATTTCATTGCGATAACAAATTTGTGAACCGATTTTGATGATTCTATTTTTGTTGGAAACATGGTAACCCAGTAGTGGTCCCATTTAAATTTGAGGAAAATATTCCACCTCTAAGAGTGGCAAACAAGGGGATGAATGACTTTTGAAGTCGGTTGTTTTAGGACTCTGTACTGATTTCATTGTTTTACACTTGTTGCACCCTGTACATTTGTTTTGCAGTACTCACATGCAAGACTTGCAAGAAGTGACCCAAGAGGTACATTACGAGAACTACCGCTCCGAGCGACTCGCGCGCAACGGACAAGTGCCTAAGAGACATACGTTAGTATTTTTTGTGTGCATCAAATACTATTCAACTCAGTAGTTAAAGGCCCATTTAGATGGGGAGAGTTTATCGCACGCTTCGTGACGAAAAATCGTATCGATTTTTCGCCATAAGATTATCGTATCATAATGTTTACATTCAGGTAGGAACTAAAATCTCGCCTACGATTATGTCATACAAGATTCGCAAGCAACTTAATCGCCTCCTCGACTGTTAACACAGAGAAATAATGTAGTAAGAAGATTCATGCTTACGAGTTTACGACGTGTCTAAACACGATCTCGTATGACATTTTTTCAAGTTCATACGATAATCGTACAAATCGGTTCGAACCGTTTTGAGTGCGAGAATTGCCATTCAAGTTCAGTGATTACTGCGTTAGTGACTATGGATATACCAAAATGACGCAAAAATCATTTAAATTTGGAACTGTTGTCAATATTAAGTTCATTGCACTGTATAGAAATATATATTTTTTTATACTTTTCTTAAATTTTATAACATTTCTTAACCCAAAATTTATTTTCGTTCTAATTTCATTAATTCTTGTCTTAGAAAAGCAGAACACCCTCGCGCACTGAACTCATGTTAGCGACTGGCTGGCACAAAAACTTGAAATACGATTTTTGCTTTCATGTTCTGTTTACATGGAGACATTCGATATTCCATGGCGAGGCGATTATCACTCACGTGGACGGTCGATAATCGCGAATGTTTAGACGACGAAAGTTTTTTTATATTCTTTCGATAATCGTATCTTCGAGACGAGAAACTCTCCATCTAAATGGGCCTTAACTCATTGTATTCGCGAAGGCCCATCGACTCAGAGTTGCCCACTACGCCTCTGTCGCTGAATATCACATTCCCAAAACATGATATTCGCAAGACATCACTTTCACAAAATATCACATTCCCAAGATATCACATGCTCAAGATTTATTTATTTAATAGTTTATTGTACAGGAAAAGTACAACAAGTCACAAAGAATACAAGGGAAATTAAAAACAAAAGGTTCTGCTTATTTCTAATAGAAATTTCTTCCTGCAGAGCTAAAATATTACAAAGATATTCAATAAATAAACATATTCAAAGATATTACATTTTTAAAACACCATATTCGCTAAACACAACATTCTAAGTACAGGTAATAAACAGCAGGTCTTACTAGCGACAGACAGAGGGTTATATTAGGTAGTATTAGACGTACTCTATGTAACTGGAAATAAAAAATTGACCCCTTGCAATTTTTTGTGCAGTTACGTTAAAATGGTGTATATTAATGGTGTACATTTATAGTTAAAAAAATCATTTCCATAAACCCTCTCCTATTTTCTATGTCTATATATATAATATAGGATATAAATAAAATATTAAGGGAGTTTATGGATGGTTATATGTATATGTGTAGGTATATAATGTATACCTACATACAGGGTAAAGTCGAAATCAATAGCATCCTTTTAAAATAAGACCCTACTCATGATACCTATTACATTTGGATATAGAATTTCGTAAATCAAATCTGTATCGTAACTTACGAAAACCATGCGATAGACTTATTGCAAATAATCATGAAATAAAAAAAAAATAAAAAATAAACAAAAATAAATAAACTCCTTTCGTTTATACCTCGAAATGCACTACATAATGATGCATGAAGTATGGAGTATGAAGCGACGCCGACGGAGAGGGCAGTTATTTATGACGAAACATAATACACATTTTAAAATAAAGTATCTGTTCATTACTAAAATTAAAATTCTTCAGTGATCCGGATTCTGTAGTACACTTAACCGGTCCAGACACACTTGAATATTTATTATTTTATTTACGCTATCTTTGACTATACTCATATTTGTTCTGGTTTTTCTGTATTATTTTTCTATTTCTTTTTTTATGAGTGAAATGTTTTTTTTATTTTATATTATTGCCTCTTTTTTTAACAATGACAGAAAATGAAGAATTTATAAATTGTAATTTTGTATTTGGTTCCTAACAGTACAGAATGTTGTAAATCGCACATATGATATTTTGCGAATGTGGTGTTTATCGAATATGGTGTATTAAGAATGTAATATCTTGAGAATGTGGTATCTTGCGAAAATGATACCTTGTGAAAGTGATGTCTTGCGAATATCACGTTTTGCGAACATGATATTTTGCGAATATGATATTCAGCGACAGAAGCCCACTACCGTACCCAGAATTCCACCGAAGCACTTAGTGAATTAATTTATTTTTAAATTATAGTCAACCTTATGTCAAGTCGGAGTTTCATTACGTCACCGTGTGAGATGTGTCCTGTTCGAAAAATCGAAATTCGAAATGTGTGTCTACGTTATTTGGAAAAATAAAGTTTAAAAAACGCACGAAATAAAACATATACAATAAAATATATACATCGCACACGAAACCATGTATTATTCGTAACTCAAAATTGTGGAATTGAGAAAACACGATTTGAAAATTAAAAAATAATTAAATGAAACTTATTAATGAAATTTATTTGTAAATGGATAATTAGGAGTCGTTAATATCTCAGCTCGAATTAAAATTTTTCCCATACTAATATGGTTCATTGTGCTTGGGTTGAGCGGCAGAAACACTGGCTTTATTTTAGATTTTTTTACTAACGAAATTAAAGTCATTTGAAAAATGTATATCGTGTTCTATTTAGTTAGTAGTGTAAAAAAAATCATTGTTATTTGTAAAGTACCTATTGATTACAGCGATTTTCTTGTAAAATTTCGAGGTACGTTTGTGTTTTTTTTTTTCCAGTCGTGAAATTTTTAGGAATCATGTTTTCACACCGTATAGTAATCAGTGTACATCAATTTTACTATTATATTTTTCCAAAGTGATTGATCCAGTACTTCACTGTTATGCGGAATCAACCAAAATCACTTGAGGTTGTATCGACTTTTTATCCATAAATGAAAATAATCAGATTATTCGCAGTACGACCCATTCTGTATTTTTTTTATTTTTAAATGGTTTTCTCAATTCCCCGATTTTGGGTTACGACAAAACTTAGGGTCGTATTCCAGAACTCTACTCAATACTCAAGTCAGGACTTGAGTATTACAGTGAGCACTGAAAATCATACTCAAGCCCTTGCCGTTTTCCAGTGCTTAAAATCATACTGCTCAAATCCTGACTTGAGCATTGAGTAGAGTTCTGGAATACGACCCTGAGTTTCATGTGCAACTTGGAAAATACTAATAACACCACAAACAACAAGTTTTGTTCCACCCTTTTTAATAGTTCATCATATTTTACTTTCGAACAAACATAAAAATATATAAAAAGATCGCACTAAACTGATAACTCTGTGCAAAACGCAGAACCGTGTGGATCGTCGGGGCGGACGCTTTCATGTTGGAACTTACTACTTTACTACCCAATACAGATTTAAAAAGTGTCAGATAGTACAAAAAAACAAGTATAAAAGTCTATTTTTGGTAAATGCATCGTGTTTTGTAAAAAGTTATGGAATAAAAGTTAGTCCTGTGAGGTTTGTTTTGTAATACCAAGTGACGGGACGAACAAGTCGTGCGCCTGGTTGCCACCAGGTACAAAACAAAACACAAGGCCGCCATTTTCAATTACCAAAAATAATAAAAACAGAACAGGCGAAACAAAATTTATAAGTTTATAAGTTATGAGACGAACAAGTCCACCTGATGGTATACGACATGCCTATCCAAAACAGTTGCAGTGCCACTCAGAACTTTAAATCGCAAAGATCTTATGGGCACTGCCACTGGGCCCGTTACCTTGAGACATAACCATTCCTTACTTTCTCAAACTCATATCTTATAAAGAGTGATTGATTATTCAGGAAATAGCAAAGCTTTCTACTTATTTTAAATTTGTTATCAAGGGTGTTAATTTGGATGCATTACTTTACGAATAGGCAAAAGCCAGTTTGTGAATATGAAGGAAATGTTATGTGAAATCAGACTGCAAAATTTGTATATTTTTTGCGTTAAGATACAAGTTTGAGAAGTAAGGCGACGATAAGTTGACAAATTCCATGTGCCTGTAATTTCACCAGGTTGTTAGTATTTTACACAAGGAACCCTATATAGCACAATGTACAAAAAATCTTTTATCGCGAGCCAAATGGCCAAGGTCGTGTACGCTTTTTTAAATTTATTTACGTTTGGTTGGTTGGTTTGGTTGCGAAATCTGTTATACGCATTTATTTGTTATTCATGTTTGTAGGTCGACGGAAAGTGGGTTAAGCGAAGCGGACTCTAACGGTATTTCCAATGGCTCTTCCGAAGACGCCGTTGAACGTGAAAGAGTCCTACGTGAGAAGGTAAGATGTTGATCTTGTCTTTTTTTACTTTTCAATACCTATATTACTTAAAAAGGGACATTCCCGATTTTCACACAGTATTTGATTTTTAATTCGGGACTTAATCATGTATAAAACATAATTTAATTACCTCGACAACGACAATGCTAGCACAAATAAATAATGAGGATCATGTGCGGGTAGTTGGAAAAACTCGCACGGCTTGAAGATGCTGACACCCGCCTCTTCAGTCCCTTCGAGAACATGGACGTTAAAATATGTCCAAAACGTGCAGGTAATTCAAACATGATTAAGTCCCGAATTAAAAATCAAATAAAAAGGGACAGTTGTTTATTAAAATTTATAATAACAGTCTGGAGTTCTAGGTTCGTACAGTCGCCTGCAATAAAATGTATACACCTGGATGGGAAGTGACGATGAGGTCGAATATTTTATGTAGAACATTTTATGATTTCAATCAATATTTTCTAAGACATTGGAATTTTAATTTTGCTATATACAATTCCCTGCAACCTACGCTTGTACATAGATATATTGTGTTAATATATAGGTATGTTTTACATGTATTTAATTTTATTTTTGTGATATTGAAGTTTGTGATAAACTTTAGTGTCACGTACATGGTTGTAATTATCAGGAGGCGGAGCTGCGTCGTATGCAGGAGATGCTGGAGCAGATGCAGCGCCAGATGCAACTGCAGCAGGCCAATACAACAACTGCATAGTGCCAGTCTCTTGCACAGGTACAATTTACCCGCACTACAGGGTTTATGCGATTTCTTAATAAAAATGTATTGCATTTGATCACATACAAAAAAAGAGGATGCAACTTTCATTCAACATTATTATGAACACAAAGATTAAACAAAACAAAGAAAAATTCCTTCGAGCTATCAGGGCTTGAACCATTGTCTGTTGCCATGTTAGTTATAGTTATATCTAGTTAGCAGCAACAGAGCTCCTTCCAGAGAAGTGCTGTCACCTTACCTATTTCTGCCGCCAAGCAGTAATGTAATAAGCATTCCGTTTCTGTTTTGAAGGGTATTTATTAACTTTTGTCTCAGGGTTACGGGTGCTGTGGCAGTTAGATCTTTGTTATTTAAAGCCCTGATTGGCACTGCACCTGTTATGGACAAGCATGTCAATTGGCCCCTCGGTCTCTAATAGCTCACTTGATATAGTATCAATAATATGGAGTATTCCACAAATTTATTATTATTATTAATATGAATACTTAATCAACTGAGCTAGAGACCGAGAGGCCAAGCGGTGGCCCCGACATGGCAACGGTCACTGGTTCGAAGTCAGGTCAGATCGAAGGAATTTATCTTTCTTTTACAAAAAATATAATATATGAAAATCATGATAGTAAAAATCATGATATTCAATAAATAAATATTTCATTCAACATTTTTATTGCAATTGTATATTATATGACGATCATGTTATCCCTTGACATTATATTTCGAATTGTAATATTATGAAATCGATAATATGAAATAAATGATTCTATTCTATTCTATTCTATCGTAGCTGTACCAATTTGTGTTAAATAGACCTTCTGGAAAGTTTTTAGTTACACGCACTTATACATAATCTAATATTTGGCGCAAGAACTAAAACTCCCTACAATCACATTTTAATGTACTTTGCATGCAGAAGTATTGCATTGTTCCTTGTGAAAGAGTACGTCCAGGGAAATACTGCTACCTTACCTATTTCGACCTCTCCAACGTAAAGTATCGTATGTCGAAATTGCCAAGTTTACAGAGGAGCGTTTTAAAGTTTTGAATTCATATACATATATCAAACACCGTGACTTTAGCATTTCTCAGTTTTATTCGGCAAAGCTCGTTATTTTAAAACTCATTCTGGAATAAAACTGAGAAATGCTAAATTCACGTGTTATGCTCATTTCAGGAAATTCAAAACTTTGAAACGCTCCCCTGAAACTTGGCAAGTTCGACATATGATACTTTACGTAGGAGGGATCGATTTCTGCCACCAAGCTATCATGTTAATTACTGATTTCCGGTTTTGAAGGTACTGGTGAAGTTACAAACACATGGGCCTTGTCAAGTTATGATGAGATCTTTGCGATTTAAAACTCTTGCAGCAGACGTGCCGCGAATTTGTTGCATGAACTAACTTTCCCTTCAATCACATTTTAAGGTGCCTTGCATCCATGCTGTTACGTGTAATTAATTGTACAACACACTCGGATGTACTATTGACCGTTCTTAATACTAAGTGATATAGATTCTTCATTGCCTGTATTGTTTCCCAGCTGGACAGCAGTCGCGTCCGGCTGGCAACGTGCGACGTGGTCACCTCGATACTCTACGCCATCCCCTACTGCGTCACCTATTCGTAATCAACATCAAAGTATACAGGGTTAATTTTAATTAATCCAATATCTCTTATTATGGCATTCCTAGAATTATAACAATAACATTATGATGTACGTGTTTACATAAAGTTCTCCACTTCTCATACAATTCGGGTAAGAACCCTCCTTCTCATAACTAATGCATTTGCATTTCGGTACTTTTCGAAATATTGGCATCTAAAGAGTTTTTGCTAATAAATAAGTCATTTATCGTTGATTTTGTTTAACAACTAGACTGAGCCTAAATAGAATGGAATAAGAAACTGATTAGAGGGGCTTGTAGACCGTGTTTCACTGATCCTGGATGTTAATAACTATATTTCGCTAAAAATGACGATTACGTTAGTTATGACATAGACCAATAAGGACTGCTAATTAGGGATGCACGATTTTTTGAATCGTAATGGATCATATGCCCCTGAATCGATCCAGGGGTCGGATCGTATGTATATTACTAAACCGATCTCATAAAAATCTTTTCAAAATTTGTAATAAATAAAACGCCTTTATTACATGATTTAATTGCCATAATAATATGTAAATATTTTTTGTTGCTTTTCACAGATGCCCATCCTTTACACCTACCTAAATCTTTGAATAATAATATCATATATAACTTAATGTCCAAAGCATTGTCATCCTCTTTATTCTGTACTTGACGAAAGCGTTGATAAGATGAGATTTTTGTTTAAATTATGAATACGATTCGCCTTAAATTTGAACCGATTCGCTTAAAAATCATTCAATTTAATTCAATTTCAATAAATCACTAGTTCGTATACAATTGAATCTATCTTCATAAAAATCGAATCGTAATGTGCATCCCTACTAATTGCGATACAGGACAGAACGTAGTCGGATATTTAGTACCTATTGGTATACCAGATGTCGCGTGATGGGAACCAAATAGCTATTTTTGTAACTAATAATAATACTCTAATTTCAAGTGGTGACAAACAAATCAACTAGATGACGCTTATTGCACAAATTGTTATGGATAGTGCCCGCTATTTTTTTATTTTGTATAGGATTAACGCCATCTACCCATAACAGGAAGCGTTACTTACAAATAACTTGGTACAGATGTAGTGAATAATCCTTTCCTATCGGCAAAACTCGGAACAACGATAACACCCGAATGGTGCCGATGTGTCTATGAATTACTGTATTATTAAATTACGTGTAGGTATTAAATAAATCGCATACTTTATTTATCAATGTCAAATGTCAAACTGCCCGTTTGACGTATATTACACTGAGATGTTAAAACCACCACGATTCTATCATATAAAGAATTCGTTAGGTAAACAAAAATATAACTAGTTACCGAGGACGTTTTATTTCAATAAAACGCACTGATAAAAACCAAATTCCGCTTGGGATGATCTAATGATTCTATAAGGATTGGAACCCCAAAAGTCTAACTATAAGTCAAAACTACAGTAGGATTTTGCAGACCTTTTTTATAACAATTGATTTTTTTAATTAATTAAAAATACTATGACATAACAAAAAAGACACCTCAACATAAAACAAAACAAACCAGCAGAGAAATTAATATAAATAAATATAATTTTCTGATTGGATGAACGACTTCGATTATGACAGCGGGATAAGAGGAGGAGGAGCGGGGTGGACAGTGTGATGCGAAACAATACTTCCAACTACCATATCACAGTCAGATTCAGAACTATTTTCTGGTGTATCATCGTCAGAGTTTTCATGAACGTTGATTACAAAACTAGCCATATAATTTTCCAACTCAGGTTCGTGTTTTCGGTACTCGTTTTCGCATTTGATGGCGTGGTCACATACTTTGGCCCAAACATCGGAACCAATCATATTAACCTTTTCCTGTACCAATTGTTTCACAGTAGTCATATTCATACTGATGTTTCTTTTGGATACGTATCCCTTTATTTGAGACCATATGTTTTCAATCGGATTGAAATCAGGATGATATGGTGGCAATCTTAGTACGCTGTGTCCATATTCGTTCATAAGTTTATCTATAGAGTATTCTACAAAGTCTTGTTTGTACTTGCAAATAATTTCATATATCGTCGGTTAAAAGGTAAAACTCACTAATAGCCTAATTGGCCAAAGGGAGATAATTAAGATTTTGTATTTTTTCATTATGAAAAATCACTAAAGGACTGGTATGTATTAAAACATGAAGGACACCACAGACTTACTGAATTTTTCTTGTCATAGATGTTCTTCCCAATAAAGCAAAATTGAAAAAATCTAGTTTTTGAACAAAATGTCACTTAATGAGTTTTACCTTTTAACCGACGATATTTCAATTTTTGTTAATGACGGATCAATCGGAACGTTAAGTTTGGATAGCCAATCAATCATGTCTTGCTTACGGGTATTTGAATTAGGAGGTTTTTCTACGTACTTATTATGATATGCAGCATTATCTACTACTAGTACCGAATGTGGAGCTAAGTTTGGAATGAGTTGATTACGAAGCCATTTTTCATAGTTTTCATTGTTCATCGCGTTGTGATAGTCACCTGTTTTATCAGTAGACTGATACATTAACAATGCCATAGGTATAAACCCCTTTCTACTACCAGCGTGCACTATTATAAGACGTTGTCCTTTAGAAATTAACTGTTTCACTCCGTTTTCTGACGAGTCAGCCCAGCTTTTATCTGCCAAATGTGAGGTATGGATGTATGTTTCATCCATATAAACAATCTCTCTCCCTTGCAATCTGTACTTTTTTATCGCGGCTAAAAACTTTACTCTTTTTAAACGAACATCATCTTTCTCGATAAGTAATTTTCTGTTGTTTTCAACTTTTTTATACCGAAATCCCATTTTTCTAAGAATTTTTCTTAGCGTAAAGTCACATCCCTTAAAATGTATGGCTTCGGATAACTTGGACTTCAGGGCTTTAATTGCAGGTACTTGTTTGTATATCAAATGGAAATTATACACTAATCGGCGTATAACGTTGTAGTCAAAATCGTCAAGACCTAGACAAAATAATTTATTTGGTCTACCCAACTTTGCCGACTTCGGACTATTGGAGGTAGATTGATTTATGTATTCTTTTTGCAATATTTTATTTACTGTTCGTTGAGAAATTCCACTGGCCTCCGAAACTCGTTTTTGGACTGTACAAAAGTAAGCAGTATAGTTGGTATGTTTGAATTTATCATTTTCAGCTAAGAAATATAAATAAATATTGAAAATAACTTCGCAGGCTTGCCGATCTAAACGTTTCCCTTTTCTTAGTGCTTTCGGCATGTCTGTTATAAATTGTTAATGTGGATCGAATAAAATCAATGTTTATTATTTACAAAAATGACAGACAAGAGTGACATGTAAAAGGTCTATACACGAGTCCATGAAGTTTATCACAAAATCTAACATAAATATATTTCTGTGGTATTAACTACTCTATATAGATACTTCCTCTTGCAATGCGACCTTTCCCTACGTTGTCTCGAGGGGTACTGAGTGCGAGTGAAGTAGTAAGACAAAAACGAACATTTCCGAGAAAATACGAAAGGAAAGGATTATTCACTACATCTGTAACACACAATGCCATCTATTAACATGTATATTTGTCAAAGTTCAGAAAATATTTTTTGCTTATCGTCGCCTTAGTTTCTCAAACTCGTATCTTAAACCACAAAGTTACTGAAATTCAAATAATGGATTGTATATACAAATTTTGCAGGCTGATTTCACATCACATTTCCTTCATATTCACACACTGAGTTTTACTTATTCTTAAAGTAATGCATCCAAATTAACAACCTTGATAAAAAAATTATAAATAAATAGAAAGTTTTGCCATCTCCTGAATAATCACCCTTTATAAAATACGAGTTTTTAGAAAGTAAGGCATCGCTATGATCAATATTTATTTATTTATTATAAAGAAAAATTTGACTTTTTATATTTAACATTTACACAATATATAACCTACTTTCAGGCTATTGATCAGCGCCATCTATAAAACGGAATTTCGACCTTTTTTATTGTTACGATCTGTAGAATGGAGATTAGCAGTCTTCTTGATTTATTGGTCCATGGTTAGATAAGGAGGGCAGATTAGCTTATTCATAGATTTTTATGGGTATTCAGTTTGCAATATACATATGGGCTAACAGACAAACGGAAGTGCCCACCTATCAGACAGAGGTTATTGCAGGATAATAAATATTCTTAATATGCAATTTCAACTGCCACAAACTTTGGAACTGTCAGTTTAGTATATTAACTGGTATGTTAAATATTAAAATTAACTATAGAGAACAAGTGACGCAGAAATAATTACTATTTCAATTATATGAAACTATATTTCAATTTATTACATTAACTAATATTTTAATGAATATTATAGACAATAATTTTCCATGTATCTTGTATGAGATTATTAAGGCTCGTCACAGAGCTTTTGTTGTCTTATATAAACTCGGTTATAGGGCCTATACACATGATCAAAACTACCATGCTAAATATGTTGAATAACAAGTAGTAAAAATCCATTGTTAGGATGTTTTCAATAGTTTATTTTGTTTTTTGCACGAATGTGCTTTCGAACCCGGGCTCGCACTTCTGAATGTCACGGAATTATGTGCAAAATTGAATTTAATTTCAAATTTACCATGAGCGTTTAGGTGAAGGAAAATCATCGTGATGAAACATGCACGTCAAGGCAGGTTCTCAATCCTCGGGCAATGTGGGAAGTGTCCAAATCGCATTGGGCTAGCGTGTCGGGCTATGGCCTAAACCCTCGCCTGAGAGGAGACCCGTGCCCAGCAGTGAGACGTATAAATGGGTTGATGATGATGATGATGAACTGAACACGCTGAAATGATGTAAAAAAAGAACATACACAATTGCGCAGCCGGTAGTGCAATAGCAGTTAAGTAAATAGCAGTTGTTTGATCGTGTATGTAGACCGTTTTTCAGTCGATCTGATTGATACTCATTTAATTTGATTTGTATTATTTTCATAATCGTCTATAATAATAATAATGTAGGAATTATTATATTTATCTAGAAAGATATAATAAAGAATAGATATTTCTCTATGATATTACCCGTACATTTAATAACATACGATATGGGATGTGAAGCTAATTAATGTTTTGGTCAACATTTTATGTTTAAAAAAAATATCGTCTACTCTTTCATTTTGGACTCATTTGAAAAGGGCATCATTAGTTTTATGAATATTGTTTAGAAAATTAAATGAAAAGTAACCGTTATCGAATATTTGAGATATTTAGAGCACAAGTTTATTTTGGAGCGAAAGTAATAGTAATTTAAAAATAAAACAACTTTAGCGAATATATTATAAATTTAGAAAATTATTAATATTGCCATTAAAAGCGATAAAAAGCTACACT